GGACGGGGGCGGTGCCCTGAATTAAAAAGCCATTGGGTGCGGCTTTGGCGCCACCTGGCGCGTTTTTCGCCCACGCCGCGCAGCGTCGCCGCTGCTGACGGGGCAAAAATGCTCCTCAGGGCGTCCACGCTCCAGGCGCTGGAGGCGAGCGCCCCGCAATCATCGTTGCCAACATTTAGTCGCTAACTCATAGTACCAGAATGCCCGACAGTACAGAAAGCGTTGAGGTTCATTGTTAGGGATTCCGGCGCGTCGACTACCGAGGTCATTAGTCCCATAAGTGTGTTTTTCTCGGGAGGTTGCGGCGGTCTTCCCCCGCTGGTTGACGCAAACCGCTGCCTATCTACCTCTTGGCTAAGTGGTTCTCCCCAAACAGGTATCTCCCACCAGGTGCACCACCCCAGCCAAGCTCAAACCTCCCGACCGGTCTTCCGGCATGCGTGGTGGTGTAGTGCATGATAGTGTGAACGTAAGGGGTGAGGATAGGTCAAGGAAGAGGAAGGAAAAATCGTGTACGGCCCGTGGCCCATTCGTTAGGGAACTGCTCTGGCATTCACCTGGTCGAAGAAACCACGGAAAAATACCAATTAGAGCATCCGTCTGCTAGAATTCTCCTCGGAACAGTGGCTGAATTCGACCTAGCTGACAAGCTAGTGTCGAAAATCCTGCCACCGCCCGAACTTGAACGTAGGACCTCCCGGTCAGAGGCACTGTAGTGACGACAGTTGATGCCCTGAACCACTTCTCCCGGTCGGATATTGAATAGCCTGCTCGTAAGCAGTCGTCTCTACTGCCTCTCCCTGCCCGCGTTGCCAAGCGACAGCGAATCCTTTGCACAAAGTCGACCCAAGAGTTTGTGAAAACTGATCTCTCTATCCTCTTTCTTTTCAAGGTTTCCGGAGTCGTTGAATTTTCGATTCAGTGATTTTGTTCAGCGTCTACAGAATTCTCTTTCAATTTGCCTAAACGATTCAGATCGTAAAGTAATCGGGATCTGTCCCTAGTGCACCACACAACATTGTGAACTTACAAATCATGGAAGCCCGGTCGAAAACAATAGGGTTTAATTGAGTACCTACTATTTTACACTCGTTGACAAGTATACAGCTCACCTAAATGTCAAATCATGCATTCAACCTACCACGTCAGTGCTTGCTGTAACCTAATAATGAAAACAGATAACATTTACTATATTTTCTATTCAAAATATCCATTACCAGTTGTCATAAACCACTCATCTTCACAGAATATGTTTATTAATTTGAATTATTTCATGTGTTATGGTTATTTATGTTGAAAATTATTACAATAATAAATGTCAGTACTTGCAAAAGGCATTTCTATTTTCATTCTCTAGCAATAAAACATTATGATTTCCCAAAAATATCTTACTACTCTAAGGCAACACCTTCATGGCGGGTTAAGTGCACGATTATGTCACGCAATTGACGTTTTTAATTCTTTTATGCAGAATATTTAAAAAAACAATGCAGTGAAAATAACCATACAGAAAGAAACAAATAAACGTGCATACTTAAGTCCTAGTAATGTTCTAATTCATCTTTTAAGTTTTAAAGCCACTTTTTTGATTGACAGCGGACCCAAAATTCAAAATTTCTATGACGTCGATTTGTAGATGCACGACCTTTGCGTCAAAATCTTATGAACTCTAAACGACAAAAAGTGTCGAAATTTTTATTTTCTCCATAGTGACGATTTTTCAAAGTGTACAGTTTTTTAACATAAATTGGCATCATCTATTTTCATACTATTTTTCTTTCAGCAATTACTGGTATAAACTGGTATTGACTCATTCGTTTCTCGGCATATTTAGAGACCGTAGAAATACGGTGCATTCTTCCTTAATTTTTTTGTTCCAAACTATAATTGTTCTGGGTTTAAATGAGCAATACTCTCAATTAATTGCAGTTGCATTTATTACTTCCGGTGCCCTCAGAATTACATTAAACCAGGGACTCAGCCCATTTTGCGATGTCGGTACTTGCCATGCTCTGTAATGAAATCACTTTGTATGACCACAAATGTGAATGAGAATTGTGTGAAAATCCCTGATTTGAATCGACAACATGCGAATTATTCCAGAATGTATCCTGTAAAATTCAAAATAACACTTCCTAACGACATCAAATGGTATTTAACTGAACATTTTCACCAATATTTGTTTAATGGTTTATTTATTCATGTATGCACAGGAAATGAATACTTTAAATGGTTTTGGATGGGAGTTTAAAGTAAAGATACCCGTAGTTACGTTTGATTACACATTAACGAATGTTTATTTAGTGGCATTAGTAGAACCTTCTGAGAATTATGTTATTCACCGTTCAGCTACGACTAATAGCTGAACACTTGTGCACTTCAGTAGCAGTGTGAAACATCACGGCAACCTTTCACATATCTTTATTTTTATAATAGGCTATGGGCTACAAGCAGACGGTCGAAGTAGTTGTAGCTAACTTTCACGCCAACCCAACTTTCATGAAAATCGAGAGAATGTATGCGATAATTCAAAAACTAAAGAGGAGAGGAGCCCCACAAAACTATCACAAACAAATAGTGTGATTAACGAAAAATAAACTATCTCGCGACATTTTGGGGTTTATTTTTTTAACATTAAACTGCAAATGAGAAAAATGAAGTGATGCGTTAGTGGAGGCTCACGGCGTCTCTTAAGTTATTGTGCTGTCTTTCCACGGCGTAACTCCAGATTCAATTTCCCGCCAAGGTAAAATTATGTTGCTAAAATTATGTATGTTAAAATTGTATGTATAATATCTATTAAAATGTTTGTCGCCATTCGATTTCCCAGTATCAGTGACCAACAAAACATGGATTGTGGGTGCAGTACAAGTTTCAGTTTTTCGTAAATGTTGAAACCTTTTTCATTTCCAATGAACTTGGAGGTTCATAACTGTGACTTTGTAATCAGCAGTCAAAAAAATTATAATAGATTAGATATAGTAGATTTAGAGAATTTCATTTGTGGATCTTTCTTTCTCGTCTTAGGAAAAGAAATACGTATCCAGAAAATGTCCAAACTTAATAAATATATTCTTAAACTCAAAACAAAATCATTATCCTTTTTTTTTCAATAACAAAATCAGTGAAGAAATAATGTTTGGATTCTTTCACTAAACAAATTGAGAAAATAACGAATTCTTATACAATTTTGGGATCTGTACAAGCCCACACAATTAAATATTTACACTGTCAAGAGTATTCCTAATACTTCTTAACTTCCATGGCCATCACAATCTCATTGAAATTTCTCTCTATTGACATTGACTATCTGAATAAAAGATCAAAAGAATTACAATATTTCACACGTACTAATTTGAAATACGTGACACTTATCACTACAATACAATTAATTTACCAGCTATACCAATTTACAGTATTTCTATTCTATGCTGATTTAACTAGCATGCCTTAAGAAACACTTGTTGTTCTATCTTCACATTTTAGTGTCCTATACCAAGAGAATTGAGTAACAAGAACTCAAAATATCAACTATTTAGGTTACGCACCAGTTACTTTTTCCCTACCTCCCTCTTTCTCTCTACCATTCCACCTAATTCTGTTACCAGCATATTTTTTCTCCAAGCTGCCACTAAGCCGTTATGTTAGCACCGCGCTCGCCCTAACCTTGAACACATTCCCTCCTCGCGCAATTGCACTCGTCTGCGAAATGTTATATTTCTAGTCTATTTCTCATTTAGTGGTTTGACTTAAAAAAAAATAACTACAACGATTCAATAGCAGAGTCCCTCACGCGCACGTAGAATACCTATCACACAATTGTGAAATTGCGGATCGCTATTGTCCGGGACCAAGTACAAAAAAAAGCATTTCCTTCGCAGGGCGTTATAGTGCCGCCAGAAAACGTTGAATCTACCTGGGCCTTCTCGGACGTCGTTGTAGAACTTCGGCTCTTCTCCTCCTCAAGTCCAGCTGTCCACAATGCATCGTCCTTCATGTTGCACTCCGTTTCGTCCGTTGTCCAGTGTCGTTTTTCCACATTTATTCGCCTTGGTTATGGCGAAACAATTTTCCAAACCCTTCAAACACCGTAGAAAGTATTGAATTACAAAAGTAACACTATACGTCAAATGTACTCAAGTAATGAAACAATATTATTTTACTCACGATCCGACATTCGTAGCTGCCTGCCTCCTTCTTCCTTCTTGTGCCTGTCTCCCCGCCCCTCGCGTCAGTCGGCAAAGACACTACAATTCATTTGTCTCAGAATATACATAAATAAGGGCGACTCCTCTTGCAGAGGTCACGGCCCGCGCTATTTAAATGTAGCGTTATCTTCCACAGAGAGGCAACGGTTACAATGTAGCACTTATTCGTCAGCAAGGTCTTGTGTTAAGAGTTTTTCCGCGCAGCATACTTGGTAGCGAGAGAGCGTGTTGAATGCCACATGAGAGGGGGTGTGCGTGTGCGCAGACCCGTGCGAGGCGGTGCAGTGCCAGCCGCCCGAGGTGTGCCAGCTGGACGAGGAGCGCCAGCCGGTGTGCCGCTGCGGGGAGACGTGCTCGCTGGAGCTGACGCCCGTCTGCGCCACGGACGGCAAGACGTACGCCAACGAGTGCACGCTGCGCCAGCAGTCCTGCCGCTCGCGCAGCGCGCTGCGCCTGCTCTACCGCGGCAAGTG